GTTCATCACCTGGGAGGTTGAAGCCTTCAGGGATTCTTGTAGCTTTAGCGCAGATCAGTTGCTGACTTCCAGATGTTTTATTTCCAGAGTTCCATGCAGTGTGGTTCTTTTTTTCTGTCTTCTGCAGAGCAGCTGGAGCCTTGTGCAATGGGCTGGAGGGGTTGAGGTCCCCTTGCACATTCTCTAGCCTGGCCTTCCACACCTGCCAGGCTCCATCCTCTGCTCTTGTGAAACTAGTCCAGGGCCCCATGGTAGCTGAAGATTCCCCACCACGCTGACAGGATCCGCTTTCTTCAAACTCCTCGCAGAGCTTTGTGGTTGAGAGCAAACACAAAAGGAGTGCTCTGCTCTCAGGCCTCATCAATGGTGATGTGCACACTGTCCCCTAGCCCACCTTTCCTGTGCACCATCTCACATCTGGGAGAAACGATGCATTTCAACTTTTTCAGCTCCAGATGTTTGAAAACGTCTCTCAGTCCTTACACAAGTCAGCCTTTGGTCTTGGTTTTGGCTGGATCTTTCTGGCACATACGGTCTAGGAAAGGAACCAGTTATTGAAGCAGGCGCAGTCACACAGGCTTCCATTTCCTCACCGAGCCTGTGGCTGCAGGGATCCTGAACCTGCAGCTCTGAATCTTGGCAAAGGCAGAGTGGTTGGGAGCAAGGAAGCTGCAGCGTCCCTCTGGAGTCCTGTGTCCCACTGCCCTTCTGTCCTGCCCTGGGCCACAGGAATGCAGGGGACAGAGATGTCTGTCCCCCTGGATCTGAGGGGTCCACCTCCTTGACTTTGTGCATTATAACTGGCAAAAGCTGGGCTCCTGGCATTTTCTTGGAGATGCTTCTGCTTTGTCTCGCTATTCTTGCAACATAATCTTTAGTGAGGTTGGCTTCTTGGCCTTGGGAGCCTCCCTCTGTTTCCCCTTCTTCTTCAAGGGGTTGCTGCGGTGCAAGGGCTTGTGTGGGGAGCCTCCCCACCTGACCCACACGGCTTCTCTGGAAAGGGCTCATAGGGCTCCGCTGAGAACACCACCGGTATGCACGCTGCGAGTGCTGCTGCTTTTTCATTGACCTCAGCATTTACCCCAAACCCAGTCGTACTGAAATCTGGCTCTTCTTTAAACCATTTAAAAAATTATTCCATGGCTGCTGTTTAGATTGAAATTTGGTGACTCAACTCTCTCTTCTTTCAGATGTAGCTGTCAGGTTGGGAAACTCCTTGACATCTTCCATTTTTGGTGACTTTTGGGCTATCAGAAGTTGTAATGCGATTTAGACTTTCATATTTCGATTTAAAACTTGTCTTTCTTTCTTTTTTTTTTCTCCTTGAGGCTTCATTTTGTTCAAGGTTGCTAGCATGTGATGCTTCAGACATTTTCACATGGTGAATAATGTGTTTTCCTTTGTTATAGGAAGGAACTAAAGATAAAACTTGAAAAAATTATTCACTAACAACTTTAGGATCTGCTGATGAAGCAATTGTCTTCATAGGTTCCTGGGTTTAGCATGGAAGTACCATTTTTAGGGATTGGAGACAGTGCTATAAGTTATGTCTGCCAAATAGCATCACCACTGGTGTCCAGGATAACCCTTGTACAGGAAGGGGAGTTGGTAGCAGCATTGGAAGTTATAGATTCATTTGGATAATTGTTTTTCACCACTCTTTCACCCTCTAAGAACATGTCAGCTGATTTCACCACTTCTCTGAGAAGACAAACATTGGTCCGGGTGGAGTAGCCCGATCCCCACTTGGGCTGCTTTTGTATCTCTGACATATTATTGTTCTCTGGACCTTGTAGTTGAGGAAAATGCAACCTGATAAATTCAAATTCGGATTTGGTGGAAGACCTACTTTTTGCAGGGGTTCTGTATTTCCTGTTTGTTTTTTGCTGCCTAGGCTACAGGGTAGTGGTTAGATCATATCTCACTGCAGTCTCAACTTCCCAGGCTCAAGGGATCCTCCCGTCTCAGCCTCCTGAGTAGCTAAGACTACAGGCCTGCACCTCCATGCCCAGCTAATATTTTTATTTTTTTGTAGAGATGGAGTCTCACTATATTGCCCGGTTGGGTCTCTAACTCCTGGACTCAGATGATCTTACCGCCTCAGACTCTCAAAATGCTGTTATTAAAGGTATGAGCCATCATGACTGACTCCTGTCTGTTTGTTTATAATATTAACCATCTGATTTCAAACTATCCTTGGCATAAATGCACTAATGGTGTGAATGTTTAGTTGATTTTGTCTCAGATGATATGGTTCCATCAGTCCTTTTACCGTCAGACTTTTGCTCATCACACTTTTTTTTTCCTCCTCATCATTTGTTTCTTAAACAGAGTTTTGTTTCTTGTGGAAATGGCACATGGAATCCTTTTGGAGCTTCACTGTTTGAAAACCTTGGTAACAACTGAGTTGGTTATACTCATACTGGGAGCAGGTGCTGAGCAAGCATTTTGTGTAGAGTCAGGGGTAAAATAATAGGCATATGGATGAAGAGTTATCTCAGAAGATAAATTCTGAGGTGGGAAAGTTGAAGCTCCTAAGGCTATATCTTCCGAATATATTTTCTGCTCTGTCACTCCTGACTGGAACAAATAGACAGTGTGTGGCTGCACAGTTAGGGAAGACACATACTTCTGAGGACTCTGACCATGCCACCTTGAACCCAGCTAATCTGGGAACAAAGGGTTTGACATCTACTGATGACTTACAGCCTTGTCTTCTGGCTCACATGGTCCTCCAAGGAGCACCACGTAGGCTGTGTGTGGGTGGCCAGCAGCCAGCCTGTAGGCTGGTCCTGATTCTTTCTTGATATCTGATTTCCCCCTTTTTTTTTTTTTTAAGATGGAGTCTCCTTCTGATTTTATTTTTAGTTTCACGATGTTCGGCAGGATGGTCTCGATCTCTTGACCTCGAGATTCACCCGCCTTGGCATCCCAAAGGGCTGGGATTACAGGCCTGAGCCACTGTGCAAGCTTCTTATCATCAGCCTCCCTTCTTTTCTCTACCCACTGCCACCTTCAAGGACAATCGTCACCTTCACCACCTACTTTGTTCTCTCTCCTCCAAAAGCAGCATCTTCCCAAGATTGCAACCATTGACTTCATTCTCTTCCCAAGTTCCTTCCCCCGACTCCCTGTTGCCAGTGTTGCGCTCTGTCATGTGTCAGATGTACTATGTCAGTTTCCACTCAGGATAAGCTCTTCTCTTCCTAATACTCTTGTTAAGGTCATCTGGGCTCTAACACTGCCTGTACCCTTTCACGTACCTTTGCTTTTGCAAAATCCTGCCAATTTCTCTACACTGGCACGGGATATAGCACCTATGTGATTGTTTGGGGGACAAATGTTTTTACCTGCAGATCACTTGGAATTCATAGTTTTCACTGTTACACTGTAGGTAGAGATTATGGTTGATTTAATTGCTCTCCTCTATCAATAACACAGAGCAGAGCCAATTATTGAAATCAGGTCTGTTTGAATCCAGGATAAAGATCTTCCTTGTTTACTAGGCTGATTTTTCCAAGTAACTGATTGAATGCGACGCTTCTGCCCAAATTGTTTATGTTCAATTATGGTAACATTTTCGGTATGATTTGAAGATTCTTTAAAATATTTGGTTTAGTGTACTTATGGTTCCTAGTCTTCATTTTTCTAAATGATAAACATTGAACTGAATGGAAAGTTAGGAGGTAAGTTTTTTATTAAGTTATGCTGACTATTATTTAATATATTTATCATCTTTTTCACTTTAAGATTTTTTTATTGTACAATTATTGCCTTTAAACCCTGGAAATCAGCAAACATTTTAGGAATCCTTTTCTTTCCTAAGCCTTTTATTGTTTACTGCAGCATTTATAAGCTTTATTAATCAATTAATGAACCAAAATTTTCCATTAAACATTCATCACAATAATGCCATACGCATAAACACCCCGCTACATTCCCTAAAAGTTGGGTTAAGTTATTGGCCCAAAATAGTAATAATAATTGTGTGTTGGGGGGGGAAATTACTACTCATAATTACCTCCATAACAGACCGACACTAGACTACCATCCACTACATCATCTGGTATCAAAAGAGCTGTGTGTTTTATTCTCTCTTAATAATTGATGCTAGATAGACCTTTAAATTTTCCTCTAACAACTTTTTCCTTACAGTGGCTTTATGACTTGAAAGCCATATAACAGGCACACTTAATATTTCCTTACATATATTTTTATTTTCAGAGTGATTCACACACACACACACACACACACACACACGTTTTAGTACAATCTCAACTTCACAATTTCCATCAGAAAGCATTGCTAGCTAATCTTTGAATGTCTGAGGAATAGAAACTTATTATTTTGTCTTTTAAACTTTCTCATGCGTAAGAAATCAATCACATTTTGTATGCTTAATTCAGTTACACCTTTATGTATTTCAATTTACTATTGTTTGCTCCAAATGTTTTGAATAGAAACACTTTCATAGGACTGTAAGGTTCATTTATTTTCTTAACAAGGTTTATCTTGCTCAAAGATGATATTGTCATTGCAATATAAGAGAAAATGATAATAATACATAGCATTTTTAATCGATGTAATCCAATTCAGAGTTTAAACTGTGACTGAAGCAGACTCCACATTTTCTCCCTTGAAATCACACATTAAAACATGTGTGTTGGCACAGAGATGAAAATACATGACAGCAGGTTTTTTATTTTGCTGGTGAATTTTAAGTAAAACTAGAATTGTCATAATAAGAAATAGTAAGTTCATGAAAATTCAGATAGTAATGGATACCTTTATCTCTCATTAATATTAATTAAAATTATATTTTAAATTATTTGTTTTTATGATTTTGTTTGATTTTAAAATAAAAGTATATAATTTATCACAATGCATTAATAAAATATATAAAATGTATTTGCAACAAACTACAAAATGGCAAATTTCCCCCCAGCTTAGCACTTTAAAACAACCATTTTATTTTCCTCATGATGTTGTGTTCCAGGAATTTGAAATGTGCTTGGCAGGGAAGTTCTGCTCAGAAAGAATGTCTCATATAGCTGTAATCAGTCGTGGCCTTGGGCAGCAGTTCACTGAAGTTTCAACTTGGCTGAATGTTCAAGATCGCCCATTCAAATGCCAGATCCTGGCATTTGAGGCTGGCTGGCTGCCGTAAGCTCCATAGTGTTGCTGACCAGATCACCCCCACTTTCCAACATGGCAGTTTGAGGGTAGTCAAATTGCTTTCATGTTGGCTGCTTTGACCTGATCAAATGTATAATCCAGACAGAAGCTGTCTGGACATAGTTGACCTAGCCTCAGAAGTCATACAGCATTATTTCTTTCTAACTTCATTGGTGGAAAAAGTACATCGAGATTCAAGAACAGAAAACGTAGACCCTGTTCTTCAATAGTCTTCAAGACATTGCTGTAAATTTCTTTGGAAGAATGGTCTCCCATATTAAATTCTATTGGTATATTTAATAGTATTATTGTGATTAAACACATTACCAGCTTTTTTTTAAAATTGAGAGAAAAATGCTAGTAAGTGTTTTTTCTTTAAAATTGTATCTGTACCTTGGTAGGCCTGGAGAACACTGATATTCTGCTTTGCTGTGTATATTGACTGCCTCCATAATTAGTTCACTTTTAACATGGCCGTGATTTTCCCCACAGGGTTGGTGGGTTGGGCTACTATCATATATTTCTATCCCTTGCCAAAACTTTAACCACACAGATAGGTAAATAAATATAACAGTCAACATAATACAGGTAATTAGTTTTACTATAAAATAATGGCTTATAAATATTGCAAAGAGGTAGATGATTTATGTTTAATTTGGATACATGATTGCTTTCAGAGGAGTTTTTGGATCAGAACAGACAGTAATAAAATGTTATTCAATCTCATCTTAATGCATATTGCTTTTATTTTAAAAATAGGCAATGTAAATATGACAAAATGTCAACCTTCATACATTCTGGGTTATGAGGATATAATTTTAGTTTACTTTATCTGCTTTATGTAGCTTTAAAAATTCTCAATATTATATAGAATATTTATAATAGTTATAGATGTATATAATAAAATATTCTTTAACATGTAGAACTTCACTTTTAAAATACAAGGTATAATTTTAAATATACCTTATTTTAATTTTATATTTAAAAAATATATTGTGCATTTTTCATCTTAATCATTTCCACATATTAGAAATATGATATCGACAATTTAAACAAAATAAATGGTATTATATTTGTATTTAATTAAATATTGTACGTATCTTTACAGATCACTTATACCTAAATCACTGCAAGTACAACAATATTATTGTTCTGCGTTTATCATTCCAACCTAAGCAGTCATGGCTCCTTGTGTTTGAAAACATTTCTTCCTTCCAATCTGTAAGACTGCCAAAATCAGAAGAGAGCCAGACTAATGACAGCGACTAGACTCGTTGTGTCTGGAAGGCACTGATAATGTTCCGTGTGCATTAATGACATCTGTGTAACTGAAAACAGTGAGACTTAAATGGATCTTGGAATCATAAAAGAGTAGCAAACAATTTCCCATTTTTCTGCTGTGTGAAATGGTGCTACTTTGCTATGTCTAGCTTGCATTAGTCTCTGAAATCAATATGCATGGAAAAAGCTGATCATTTTTAATAAGGTCACTTTATTAACTTAAGAGCTAAAATGTTATCCTAACTGAATACTGATTTGTTCTCAAATATATAAATATAAATGACTTCCTTTAGAAGGGTCCTTTGGATCAATATTGAGTCTGCCATAGGGTCTTTTTGTAGAGGTAATAGGATAACGGTGAGAGGTGCCATGTGCTAAGAATTTAACTGAGTTCATGTTAACTAGTTCTTTAGAACCTAGAGAAAAATAGAACCTGACCTAGAGAAGGCAGGGCAAAATAAAATCTAATTCCAAAATAAAGTCTAATTTGATAAACTACAATAGTTGTCTAATATTCACCCAATTTTATTTTACAATCTTTGTGCACTTTTCCACATGAGTTATTTTGGTAATATAATCTTATGATCTATAACCCACCACTTATTTTAGACAAAGTATTAAGGGCAATTTTCTTAATGAGACAAAAGGGTTAGTTTTTGTTTTTGTTGTTGACTTTGCAGTGTCTAAGTCTCCCACCATCTAATAGTAATGGTAGATATTAAAGTCCTAATTATGTGCTAACATTTAGTCCCCAGTTCAACACATTAGGTAGACATTTTTGCCCACCCACTTAAAAATTGATTAGACAATTGTAACATGTATCAAGGTATACAACTGTCAATTGGTGCAGTGCAAACTCAAACTGAATTCCAAATCTAAACTCTAGGAACTGAAATATCGCTTCACATCACCTGTCTAATTTCATCAAATCTCAAATCCCACAATTAGGCATTTATCTCTTTGTCATTCTCTTTCTATTCTCATTCCTAAAAGGGTCTATCAATACCATTATCTTCATATTTCACCATGAGCCTTTTGACAGCCTTATCTTCAATTCCAGTCCAGATCTCTCATTCCTAGGTCTGATCTCAGCTCCCTGTGTCCAAATGATATCATCCCTTGAATAACCTGCCGTTGTCTCAAAGTAAACACAATTCAGGTCAAACATATTTTTCCATCTGTAATATTGGTTTTTTTTTTCTCTATCCATTGCTTGTTTATGTTTAGCAAAGCCCTACAGTTTCAAGAATTTCTGCATGATTTCAAAATTGTTTAAGATGGAAAGCAATATGAAGAATTAATACTGGGTTCATTGATCAACTCTTGCCATTATTAGAGTCATCATACATGTCAGGCAAAATTTCTGCTTGCATGGAGCGTAATACACTACAATTGGAGAAATCTATCTTAAACATTTAAATACACAAACAATTGCGTAATTAAAAACTTGTTATAATTGGTATGAGTTAACATTCTACATTTTTATTTAATAACACAATAAGGGAGGAATTTAAAATGAAAATCAGGCGATAAGGAATAATAAGAGGGTTTACAACGAGGAGGAATCATACACATCATCTTAATGCAGTAATATATAAACTGAGACCTGAGTGATGCCTACAGATTTGATGAAGAGAGTGTGTGTGTGTGTGTGTGTGTGTGTGTGTGTGTGTGTGTGTGTGTAACTGGAAAAAATGGAAAGAGATTTGACGAGTAATTCCCTGGTATTTTCCTTGAACAATTAATTCCACAGATAGTGGTGTCTTTCACAGAGCACCGAAAGAGAATATGATTTTTGTGTTGTGATATCAGGCAACAATAATTCTTTCTTGAGATGATTTTTTCCCACATATGTTCCTATTATTAAAATTCTCACCTGGGGTCTCATCTTATGTATAAATAACTTCACTACCACAGCCAGCTCACTCTTGTCTTAATTTCAATTTCTCCTCATCTGCCATTTCCATATCCCTAAACACACAATCTGACATGATTTGACTTTAAGAAGCTATGGAAGATTCCTATTGTTTTAGTAGAATATACATTTTCTTTCAGTGTTCTTAACCAACTGATTCTACATGAGCTGTGCCTTCATGACTGTAGGGATTTATTTTTCCTTTGGTCGTGAGGCTGCAATTACACTGACATTTTTCACTTATGAATGTATACCAAACTTAACCTCATTTCCCAGAAACTGACCCAGGTTTTTAGTGCTGTAGACGGTTACAACTTCCCCCCCTTCTTTTCTTAGTAAATGTATATCCATTCTTCAGGTTTCAGTTTATATATCCTTGAGATGCTTTGCTTCATTCTGCCCAAACTAAATTATGTTCCCATATGATACCTTATATTTCTTTCACAGCAATCATTGTCATTTTAAATGATCCATTTATTTGCATGTTTTTGTATTTAATGTCCATGTGGATCATGAGGTCAGGAGTTCAAGACCACCCTGGCCATCGTGGTGAAGTCCCATCTCTACTAAAACTACAAAAAATGGCTGGCTGTGGTGGTGGATACCTATAATCCCAGCTACTCGAGAGGCTGAGGCAGAGAGAATTGCTTGAACCTGGGAGGCGGAGGTCGCAGTGAGCCTAGATTGCACCACTGCTCTCCAGCATCCAGCACAACCTAAATACTCAATAATAGAAGAAAAGACTTAAGGAAGGCATAATGTATGGGCTCTTCATGCCTACCACATGCTTATTCATATTTCTCCAAGTTTGTTTATATAAATCCTTTTGACAGAAATGCTCTCTTCCCCATTTGCCCATTTTACATTCTACCTATTCTTTAAATTCAAACCAAGTTTAGAGGCTACATCATGTCGAATACTATTTCAAATAAAAATTTTTATACCAATTTCTATGGTGCTTGTAGAACATACTGTACAATTAAATAATCATTCATGTGATGTTTCCCAGGGTTGTTTGTGCCAAAACTATGAGTACTCAGTGGTTGATGCACTGTTTTCTGCTTTTACATATATCTCAACATCCAGAGAACTACTTAAGATAAATGGTGCTTTTTAAGAAATGGCTTGAGTTTTATAATTTGACTTAACCTAACATGTAATTTAAGATTTGAATAATAATTCACAATTAGCCTATCCAATGGTTGTATTGATTCAGGTGTCTACAAGAAAAGTAATTAAATGCCCAACAGAGTAACGAGAAAAGTAAAACGATGAACTATTAATGAAATCAACAAGGAACGGAGAAACAGTCCACAACCAGCCTAGAAGCAAGGAGAGGGAAGAGTTACATTTACCGCTATTTGAAGTGAGAGCTGTGACTCCAGCAATGGGAGAGACACCTGATAGAAACTTTCATCTTCAAGAAAGAAATGGAACCACTGACATCCCTCAGTCCAGCAAGCAAGAGGTCAAGGGAACAAAGACACCATTCTCCTTCTCCTTTCCCCGACAACCTCCAGCTTGTATTTCTCATTGGCTGACCCCAAAGTAAAGACAGGACAAACATCCTTTTGTTTTCAAAATAGCCAGCAGCCCAGGAGATGAAGCAAAGTGAAGAAGACAGGTGAGCTGAAGGGACAGGTGAATCTCCAGGACCATGACAGTTTGTTGTAGTTCCAGTCTTCCTGCCATGACACAGAGGCCTGAATATACATTGGCAACAGCAAGACAGAAATGTTTCTCTCCTGTGTAAGTCTCCAAAAGTGGATAGTCCAGCACTGGTAAGTTTCCTCTGTTCCTCTAAATATAAAGCTTCCCCCTCTGCATCCAAAGAAGCTGCCAACACTCTTTATCCTAGGCAGCGGAAATGAGAAAAGCACGCACACTGCTTTGAATAGCTTGTCGTGAAAGGGACATGTGTCATTTCTCATGTGCCATTGTCCCAAACAAGGTCATCCATTGCACAAAGGGCCCAGCTAAGCCTTGGTGATTTTCATCATGAAGGCGGAGAGAACTGATGCTGGTGCAATACCATCAAAGGTGCTCCAGGGAGAAGAAAGAGCATGTATGAAAGCACTAAGATGTAAAGAAGCTTGTTTGGAAACATTTATGCGTGAAGAGAATGATGATTTCCAGTGTTTGTAAATACACATACACATAAACTTTTCCTGAAGTTTACACGTTATGTCATATATTGTGCACAATATTTCTCTTAAAGTGCCTTGTCTTGGACAGTCAACTTGCTACATGGGCCAATAAAATGTGTATGCTAAACATACAGATTGAGTTTATTGCTGCAATAAAATAAAACTCATGGCAAATTTAATAGGATATATTTCTAATGACATGCATAATTGTCTTTTTGCTACATGCTAATTATGTAGATATAAACGAAATGCCATTTCCAAATAATACTAACTGTAGTCACTTAAATGGAAAACCAAATCACGTATTTAATTCTCTGAGCTTCCTAATAGACATTTTCACTTGGAGTGTTTAATTCTCTCTCCTATGCATCCTTGTGAGGCAAAGTGAACAAACACCATTACCTGACGTTACCATCTTCTGGGGCAGTTGTATTTAACACTTTACTCTGAGACTCTCTGTGTTTATTTTCTATTAGCGACTGTCTCCTGTACATATCATATCTCTAAGGTATTATCACATTGCCCTGCCCTTTTATAAGGGCCAAGAGTGAAGTTATGGTACAGCAACGATGCACATTTAGAAAGAGGCAATACATTGTGAGGAGGTCAGTTCTCATTTCCTACTTTTACATTTCACCCCTTCTTTGACTCTAACAGCTCAAATTCAATTATCCTTCTCAGGCCTATCCTAAGGAACATAATAAATACAGGATATCTTCTCAAATCTATCTGCAGTAATTGTGCTGGGTTTTATATGTCAAATGACAGACCAAGTCATTCCCTACTCAGATATAAAATTCATAATATGCAATTTTTATAAAAATTAATAAATGTTGAAATAGAAGGAAATGTACCATGTAATTCACAAAATTTGAAACCTTTTTGAAAGAGGAGGGCATTAGAAAAAAAATCACTGAAACTTGGAGGGTGAGAGTCTTTTTTTTGGAGTAAAAGGAACAAGAAGACATTTAAATTAAAAAACAAATGACATATTTTATGTAGAGGACTATGTGCTCGCAAACGAGACATTCCCCGTAAGTCCTGCTCTTGCAAACGAAGCAGGGAGTTCCTTCCCTGTAAACAGGGAGGACAAAGGAGCCAGCTGCAAACAGCAGACCCTGGGGGCTTGTTTATGTGTAAACATCTTGAAAATCCAGAAAGTCAGGGAAAGGTCAGAAAAACAACAATGTGTCTTGTGACTTGGCAACATTCCACAAACGACTGTCTAAAATAAGGCAGAGCGTGCCATTCGAGGTGGCCGCCATGTTTGTCTTGTCTTGTGTTGTCTTGTGTGTTCATTCCTTTGTTTAGGAAACACGCGGACCCCAACAATTTTATAATTGATTTCTAAACTGTTTACATTTGTTCTGATATGGACGTGGATGCCTAGTTGTGTATACAGTCTTTTTTATTGGTTTATGTTTCTTGGCCACATATAATTTTAAATGCTGGACGTCAAATAATCTTTAAAATGCAGATTGCATCATATCAAGGTGATTTCACCAGCAAGCAGTAAGTGGCAAGCCTTGTGCATATTTACATGCTTTACCACATACCCCTTGTATGTGGCCATACAATTACCTCATGACTACAATTGCTATATTTCAGTTTCCTAGGTAATCATAATTGGCCACTCTATTTTAGTGTTTATATGAATATATTAGGTAAATATGGATGACAGCTGAGCTATGTAGTTTTTGCATCTACCATCTTGTGTTTGCATCTACCAACTTGGAAAACGTTTGTATTTTCCAGAGTTAATGACTGTATCATCTTTCTTTTCATTTCCTGTGTTCTTTTCAATATTACAACCTCCAAAATATCTAACAAAGTTATAGGAATCGATTTAATATGTTTGAACAAATCACCTCCTGTTAAAAATAATCACTTTTTCCTCATGTTTTGCAAAGTGCTTATTGCACCATTGTCTTCCTGGAAATTCCTTTTGCTATAAACCTAGGGATACTCATCATAGGTGCCATAGCTTCTGTCCTGAGTCCTAGTCCTGAGTCCTAAGTGTTTGTTTTTATTGGATAACAATCATTTTAATAAGAACATCTTCTTATATCAGTATGAAAGAGCCACATGAGAATAAATGATTTTTGACTTTACATTTAAAGCTGGCTTTATTCTACCCTTCCTCCAACACATGAAAATATACTACATTTGATAAATTAGCTGGATATTTTAAAGTGCTAAAGATAAAACTTCCTTGTGCCCAACGGCCTCTTGGCTTCCAAAACATATGTAAAGATATTTTATTTGCTGTACTTAAATGAATGCATAATTATGAAAACTAAAAGGCCTAAATAATTTATACATATTATAAGTATTTAAGTTGTGCAATAAATGTAAGTTGATATAAGCATGGTGGAAGTCACTTGGGAGTCTCAATTAGGGGTCTCAATTTTGAAGAAAATATTGTGTAACATATTGACTGAAAACTATGTATCTATATCAAATATATTCCCAATATTCAATATTAAATATGCAATTTCTAGGACAAAAGTTCCTTATGACTTCAACAGGTAGTATACACATATTTAGTTAATTTGGAATAAACTGTACTCAGCATTTGAAGAATATATGTACCATGAAATTTAAAAAATATTTTGAAAAGTAAAAACAAATTTCAAAATTTGGTACTAAACTTTCCCAAACTTCACTAAAACTTGAAATTTGTCGAAACTGACTAATCTTCTAATTGTGTTAAGATAATCAGATTTCTTAAGTCCCACAGAAGTTAAATTTGTGCTAGTATATCCTATGAGCGCAAATGGAAAAATGACATTTGCAATGCAGTGATTTGTAATATGACAGATATAGTACCTTTTTATAATTAATGTTTGAGGTTCTCATCTTTAAGCAGCCTTTTCACTTTTTTTCCTGATAAAAGTCAATATTTCCTTCTTGGTATTTCTGTACTACTTTTTAGAATATTCCTTACAATTTGTTTATTAATCTGGACACATATCTAGAGAGAAAGAATATACTGTATTGCTGGACGAGAGACAGTATCGTGTCCAGCACAATATCCAGGTCATAATAGAAACTTAGCAAAATTAGTTTCCAGGCTGTGCCCATTAAGTTCTGTGCTTCCAGAATACAAGCACAGAATTAAGCTCATTGCAATTTCATTGTTAGTTGTTAGGAGAATTTGTCTTATATCTCATGCTTAGATGCATGCGTCACCAGTATTTCTGTGTGTTTTCATGGACACTATCTGGTCTTTCAGGAACTACAATTTAAAAAACATACGGTCATAACTGGTGAATTATAAAACATAGTAACCTCAAATGTAAATGTTTGACCTCATAGGGGTATAAAAGACCATTTCTCAGAGAAGACGGCAGTTTCTCTATGACTGATATATTTCATGCACATATTGGTGGCTCACAAACAAAGATGAAGCCCATTCTTTGTAAGTATGAGAGATTACTGGGAACTTTGTTTGGATTTCTCCAACTGCTCTGTGCTTTCTTTTTTCTGTTATATTGTATCCTTCACTTTTATTAGAGTGTATGTGAATATACAGAAATAATTGTTGCAGTGAAAGTGGCAGAACTTTGGCAACAACTGCAGATTTAATTTGAATATGACTAATCCTTTGTTTTGGAGAAGTAAAGAGAAGAACAGGGAGAATGAATCCTCTCTAATGCCAGGTTGCCTCTTGAGCCACCCTGATTTGAGGTTGCCCAAGCACTGTGATCAGTTAAGGAAAATTGGATGTAGAGGTAATAAATCCAGTATCAGGGGAGACAGCAAAATTGGGAAAGAACAAGATATAAGTGAAGGGAAAATCACAATCCCCAAATTGTTCCTTGGCTGAAAAAAAAAAGGAAAGAAAAAAAACTATATTATTGAAAGTCAAAATATAGCCAAACGTGTTCAAAACTCTAGAATCTGTCTACTTGAAGCTAATTATGAACCAAGTTAGGAAATAAAATGTTGTCCTGATGAAATATTGTAAAAGTATCACAACTAATTCCACTTCTCATTACTCAAAGCATTCTAAAGATATTCTAAAGGGTTCTGAACAGGTAACTTTTGAGATTACAGGTTATTTTGTCAAAGAATTGACTCATATTGTGGACAGATACAGACAGCTCCCAGAGTACTTTTATTGCAAATAATTTTACATATTATTAACAGGGGTAAATTTCATTGGCTCTGCTCATGACTGAAAGAAGAGAGGTGTTTAAGTAAACACTAGATTCTTGGTAGGCAACTACATTCACCATTGTGTGTGTGAGAGATGACACGCTTAATCCTATCCCTAATTTACTAATCTATATTAAAGGAGGAGTTAGATCAAAGTATCGGGAGAAGGACAACTGCTTTGGTCTTGCTGAATAGAAATTGTAATAGCCCCACTGAGGCTGTAAATATTCTGAGACACAAGTATAAGCTACTTTGGATTGGTTATGTCAGGGATTCTCAACTGGGGCTGACTTTGCTCCTCAAAGGATAAACAATACTGTCTGAAAAGTGACTTAAACACTTTCTAAGTTGTTACAAAAACCTTTCAAATAAAAAATTAGGAAACCTATCAACAAGATTAAACCCAGTGGTAATTGTTAGAAGGTTCTTGAAAATGGAATGTAACAGGAGAACATGAATGATGTGGCTGCTTAGGTGCTGATGGTCACCATCAGAAAATAGGTGCCTCCAAAGTAAATCCCCTCTATCAACTCCTTGGACATTACAAGACCCTCAGTTGATCTGTTATATAAACACAACCTTGATAAATTTAACAAATCTAGGAAAAAGAAAACTGAATCTGTAGATTCTCACAGGTAAAACCAGTGAAATTGGTACAGGGTGAAAGAAGGCTACCATTCTGAATGAAAGGGAGGTCAAAGTCTCCTGGTAAAGCCCTAGGTGTGAACCCACAGCCATCAACATGAATGTGAAAAAATGGCATGCATGTGTAAGGAACCCTCATTGGCATCACTGAAAACCAGAGCACGGTGTGGAGACCCTAAACTCATGATAGAAATTTAAATGGCAGTGCGATGATTTTTGAGGATGGTGATGTGGTGATACCTCTCCCTGAATTCTTCATTACAAAGCATATATGATACAGAACTGGGAGTGTCTCTCTTTACATAGGCTCTAGGAAAATCA